AAAGGAAATCAGTTAAAGTAATTAACTTTATGAAATACAGGTGCTCGACCTGTATTTCACACAGGAATAAATACAACTTGGTGACTTCATAATTTAGGAGAGTGAATATCTCCCCAAGTTCTGAATGCCTCAAACCTTTTAAACCAGGAAGAAATCATTTTCTCATACTATAAAAACTGTTTGTTTTATATATATATAAACAAAAAACTCCCACCTGATCCAAGCTTTTTAACACATCTCTTAAACAGGTGTAAAGTCAAAGTGACAGAAAGAAAAACCAAAACCTGCAGACTTACTGCTGGGAGAGTTTGGGCAGCGGCCGACCAAATGCAACCACAGGCAAAAACGGAGTGATCACTATAGCTTCAACTAGAAGAGAGAGAAGAATTACAATTAGGATTTTAAATTAATTCAAAAACTTTCCCCTGCAGTACCCAAGTTCTTTGTTTTTTTTTTTTTTTTTCCAAAACTACATAATAAACCCTGCAGTAGTACCGTCTTCAGTTTCGGGGTAGAAGGACGACAGCTCGGGCTCGGTCTCCTGGACGGTCTTCTTCCTGTTCATGCGCTGCTGCAGACGCTGGAACACGCGCTGCTCTCTGATTCGCTGGATGTCCCATCTGAAAACATTAAAGAGGAAAATTCAACATGCAAACTGCAGGAGGACAAGTAAAAAAAAACAACAACAAAAAACACGAGATACCAGGAACACTAAGCAACTGGTTCTTCAGTGTATAATAACAAGGGTTAATTGAATTTGTGTTATTGTTTTCCTAAGCTAAATTCTAGAAAAAAACATAAATGCAAAAATAAAAATAACTAAAATTTAGTGTTAAATATTTTCAGAATTCCTGGAGGAAGGTTAAACACAACTTGTTATTTCCTGGTTTCTAGAGATGGAGTGACCTGAACACACAAAAGTCATCATGCAACACAGTTGGACTTTAAAGAGTAAACATATTTAAAAAGAAAATTTGAACCAAACATCCATCTGCTGATTCGCCACACTGACCACTGAAACATCGTCCCATTAAATGTTCATAAAACACATCCATGCATGATTTTCTGAAGTTTTTCAAACAGATTGAGATTTGCTGGTTGAATATTTTATTTTTTAATATAAAAATCAGGGTTTCAAGATATTCAATATGTGTACTGGCAATATTGCTGGATATTGTAATGGGAGTATTAATTGCTACAATAATTCATTTGTAATGAATTGACTGTAAAATTCTACCTAAAAGTGTTATTAGGTTTAAAAAAAAAAAACAAAAAAAAAAAACACCACCACCAATTCGTAGCGACGGCAAATCCAAGTGTAGTCAAGGTGTCAGGATAGTTTTTTTTGTTGCATACTGCGATAATTAATCATTTGCAATATGTTGGGTTGCAGGTTTAGTTCAATTTGATTTTTGAACATCCACTTTATTTGAAATAATAAAACAAAACATTCTCTTTTTGAGAGAACTCCAGAGTAGTGGAGTGTTAACTCCACTACTCTGCCTTGGTTAAGCTCTCAACATCAAACTGCATTAATAAGTCTATTGCTGTACCTTTTCCTCCTCTTCTCGTCCAGCTCCAGCTTCGCGTGGCGTTTCAGAAACGTGCCGTCGTCCAGCGGCTTGAAGTGAACACAAGTTCAGACATTTCCATTAGAACCTGAAATGCTTGCGGACAGTTTAAAAAAATGGTTTCTTTTTTGTTGTTGTTGATTTTCCTCACCTCTGGGATATTACAGGCATCGTCCTTCAAAGGCTCTATGTGGTTTTCCCTCCAAGAGGGAACTGACAGGTGGAAGGGTAGTAAAAAAAAAGAAAAGGGAAGGAAGTTATTCATAGACGGTGAATTCAGCAGAGTGGATTGCTAAAGTGATTGAAGTTGGGATTTAGGTTAGGCTTACAAACAATCAGCATATCATGTACTACATGAGGAGTCCACTCACTGGCCACCTCTTCCTCCTTTTTAGGGGAAGTCTCACGCAGAGGGGACAGAGGAGGTTGGTTCCAGCAACACAAATACATCTCTGTGGTTGACATGAAGGGCAGATCCTCCATCTGGCAGCTCAGCTCGGGCTCATCTTTGCAGAGGAGCAAAGCGTCCCTTTCTGCGCCGGACCTGGCTGGGACAGACTTCTCCGGGGTTTCCTTACTACGCAGCTCTCTTTGGTTGGGAGAGCCGGGCTCCGTCTCAGACTTCTGGGGGCTGAGCTTTGCACTTTTACCCCGGGATTTCTGAACCTTTGCATCTCCGAAGCAAGTTTTCCTGTGTGCGGAACGGACCAGCAATTTTTTTTTAAACATCCAACCCAGGTGTTAATGACATGAGAAATGTCTGCTGCTTATTTTACCTTTTTTGACCTTTGCCTCCCCTGCTGAACGGGAGGGGAGTGGCCACGTTGGGTTGTGGACTCTCTTCTATGTCCAGATCCCACATGTCCTCTTTGTCGGGGGTCCACGGCTCCAGGGGCTGGAAAAGGCGCTTATCGCGCGGCGTGTCCTTCCTCGTGAGCTGGAGGCGACGCTCCATGCGCTCAATGCGTGCGAGCAACTGCGTAGAAAAATTTTAAAGAAAACATACAACTTAAGAGAACATAAGGGACATCAAAGGGGTTCAAAATGGAAAAAAATAAATAAATTAAACGCACCGTCTCCTTATCGGCCTTGAGCTCATCGATCTCCTTGTCCTTGGATTGCAGCTGCTGCTGCTGCTGTTCGATGAGGTCCAGCTGCAGGAGGAGAATCTGTCGGAGGCAGTTCGCCTGTGCATGCGGACTTGCAGGGGTCTTCCTGATGTTCCTCCACTTTCCTTCGGAGGACAGTTCAATAGAAGCGGTGCCCAGAACTCCGGGAACAACCCCTTTTGTGCTATCCTCAGCACCGGCATCCTTTGGGTTATTGTTCACTGCCATCTGAGGATTATCCATGTTGTCAACAGAGAGGGGTTTACCTTTCACCGGGGTTCCCTCACCCCCCATTGGTCTGACAGGGGAAGTTATCCCCAGCGGTTTGTCTCCCTGAACCGTTTCTGGAGCTGTGGCAGCTAGGGCAACTTTGCTTGTCATGAAACTCTGATCTAAGTCCTTGGATCTACTTGGGATCTCCCCTCGTTGCACGTTCTGAACATCTATAGCAAAGTCGCAGGGCTCGTTCTTGATGCTCACAGGACCCACGCTGTTGACTCCGAAGTCTTCCGTGTCAGCCTTACGTTTGAAACCCGGTTGTGGAAATTGTTTGGATCTCAGAGTCATGGCGATCACGGCCACTTCTCATCCTGCAGCCCCACACAGACTTCCCATCTGGACGCAACAGCTGCAAAAAAAAAAAAGGAAACGCACGCAAATACAGAAGTCAAGATACAGCTGTTTGTTAACCAGACGGCCTGCTTTATGAAAGTCGGGAGGGAAACACATACATATATACAAGAACATCTCCAGCTAAAGAATAGTGACAGATTAAAAAGTGCATCCTTTAAAAAAAATCTCTTCCCGGATTTCAAATTCACGCTTAGTTGTGTTACGTCTGCGATACAGTAAGTCCGAAACAAAATATTTAGTTTTGAAGAAATGTAACCTTCCATTTCTGTAGCCGGGCAGACATTTTAAAACAAGGGCTCCCAACAAGGACTCGGGAGTGGCTCTGTAGGACACAGGCAGCAGCAGCCAAGCTCCTCCATTTTGGTTCTCATGAAAAACAATAACAGCCAGCTAGCTGGCTAATGTTAGCCGGCTGCTTTTACAGAACAAAAAGTGTCTGCGGGGTAAACAGCGTGTAATGACTAAGTTGTAGCAGACAACATTAACCCAGAGCCGCTTTTATTAACATATTCTGGTGGGTTTCAAGCTTACCTCGATCACAACTCGAGTGAGACTTCAGAGTGTCTTCATGTTCCCTCCTCAAGACTTGTTTTAAAACGCTGCCTACAGCGCATGCGTAAAGTGTTGGATGGCCATTTCTTGTTTCGGAGGTTTAATTCAGGAAAGGCACCACCAGGGGGCAGTAGCACTCTCCCCACTAAATGCTGCATTATTAAAGCTATGACGCAATGTTGTTACATATGGAAAACCAAAACTCCATAGTTACACAGTGTTTCTTTCCTTTTATGTTGTCAGTCAGAGATTGTTACTTTGAATCTCAAAATTATGACATTGAATCTCACAAATATGACATGGAATTGACAATGATTGCCTTTTTGTCTCATAAGTTTGACTTTGAAACGAAAATAATGATCTCACAATACCGACTTTAAACTCGTTATGATTGAGAAATTTAGATTCAAATTTGATTTAGTGGTTGATCATTTTTATTTTGATTCACATTATTATAACTTTGACTCAAAATTATAATTATTACATTCTATAATTTTGGAGTGTAATTTATAATTTGAACTGACTTTCTTCATAATTCTCAGTTTTAATCTCAGTATTCTCAGTTGTCTCCCAATGACTTCAAAATTCAACATTATTTTATTCCATCCATCCATCCATCCATCCATCCATCCTCCATCCATCCATCCATCCATCCATTTATTGTATAACCTCACACAAACATTGCAGGGTTGCAGAATTACTAGAACTTATAAATTTTAAACGACGCCTTATTGGTATCATATTTATGACTTTGAGTCAATTATGACTTTGGTTTTAGATTTAGACTTTAAATCTAAAACCCCAAATTTCCTGATTGAATATTTTTTAAATATTATTATGATGACGTTTTTGTCTGATTATTGTACATATATGTACGAATCTAATTTTACCCCACACGCCCAGCCCCCAAAACATAAATAAATAAAATAAGAATAAGTATATTTCTTCTGCTTTTTTATTTTTGTCACACAAATTTTTTTCAGGATATCTATCAAATTGTAAAAGCAGACAACGTTACATGGTTTGAAAAAATAATGACTAAATTTATTAAGAAAATGGCAGACTTTAAATAAATAAATAAATAAATAAGAGATAAGAGACATGTTCACAAAATTTCGTTAGTAGAGTTACGTACTTCCGGTAGCGGCTCGCCAGGCCAGCGGAAGTGAAAGTAACAGGTTTCCGGTGGAGCTTCACTCTATGGTCTGCATTTAGACCTTCGTTATTGTTTACTATGGAATAAAACATATCTGCACTGTTCGTGTGGTGAAATTAACCGACGTTCGGGTCGTTATATAGAATATTTGGTCCAAATCTCGACAAAATGCATCGCAGAGGTGTTGGTGCTGGGGCGATAGCTAAAAAGAAGCTAGCAGAGGTAAGTTTACAGTTGTTTTTATGGGATTTATGTCACTATTTCAACGTCTCTGTAACTTTATAATGACTTCTAAGCCTGGTTTTAAAAGACATTGAAAAGTCTTGAATAGTGCGTTGTTTTAATATAGTTTGATCAATTGAATCCAATATATACATGTGACTGTAACAACTTTTCAAAAGTGATCTAAAACAACTACAATTTTGAAGAGATATATGTAAATCATCAGCTGTGATGCCTAAATGTCATCATAAAGACAGTGATTTAAGGTTACAAAATGTTTTGTGGAGTTAAAAGGTTACATTTTTTAGCTCTCATATAACAAGGAAATAGAAGTTAATTTAAATCAAAGATCTGTCTAACATTGTGATCAAAGCTAAAGAGAACCCCGGGTCTTCATAATTCACTTATAGATTGTGATTGTATGTTTCATAGATGATTCCCTCAAGGCTACCTGCTCTTTTACATAAATGTTTATACTTCTAAAATTTCCAGTGCCTTGTTTGGCTACTCTGTTTGTTACTTTTCTTTAGGCCAAATACAAAGAAAGAGGAACTGTACTTGCAGAGGACCAGATAGTTCAGGTGAGCTTGCTGCCTTGTTTGTTTTGATGCACACATTTACCATACAGAAGTAGCACCTTATTCACTGAGTCTGTGTTTTGTTTATGGGCCAGATGTCAAAACAGTTGGAAACGTTCAAATCCAACCTGGAGGAGTTTGCCAGCAAGCACAAACAAGAGATCCGTAAGAACCCCCAGTTCAGGGTCCAGTTTCAGGAGATGTGTGCCACCATTGGCGTTGACCCGCTAGCTTGTAAGAAAAATCCTGATTCCTTTTTGTTTTGCATGTTTTCCTCACTTGCTTTTCAAGTAAGCCTCAACTGAAACGTCTTCTTTTTCCCCCACAGCTGGTAAAGGCTTTTGGTCCGAGATGCTCGGTGTGGGAGATTTCTACTACGAGCTGGGCGTACAGATCATCGAAGTGTGTCTCGCCCTGAAACACAGAAACGGAGGTTTGAGTTTGTTTTTTGTTTTTTTTTAAAGATGATTAGTTCTCAATGTTTTTACCAGAGCTCCAATGTTACAACTCTTTCTCTAAGTGTCAACTCAGTCCTTAACATTATAGCTACCTCCAGACAGCCACAGTAATTTTTCATAATTCATGGCCTTTGAACTTTTACTACAACTTCAAATGATTATGTCACAACAACCAATTAATCAATTAACCTCATGATAAATTAAAATGAGCTTGACAATTTCCACTTTGATGATTAATATTTCTCAAAGGGCAATATTATTTACAAATAAACCATAATTTATTTTAGTTATACATTTGGTTGAAAGTGTTTTGTTTTTTTATTCAGTTTTATTTATTGTTTTTGGTTGTTGTGTTTTATTTTGGACATTTAAGGTATCTTGCAACTCCAGTGTTAAGTGTTCTTTACAAGAGTGAAGTTTATTGGTCGTAAACAGAGCAAAACTGCATTGTTATGTTATTGTCAAGATTACACTTAAAAATGGTCTAAAAAATATCAAAATAATTACCGGGACAATTAATTTATTTGTTATCGTGAATTTCTTCAACAGGGACAGCAAAGCTAGTTATACGGATGGGAAGATGGATGAAGTTAATGCGGGACAAACATAAAAACGAAAGACTTAACCAGAAATCCCAGTCGAATATTTATACGTTCGAGATTCTTACGGAACAAGCTCTGAAAAAGTTCCCGGCGTGTGAACACTCTTGCTTTGTTGCCTCGGCTTATTAAAACGAGCTTGTCGAGTGAAAACGTCTCACACACATTCTCATCCTCTGCGGCGTTTGTGTGTGTTTCAGGACTCATTACTCTGGACGAGCTCCACCAGAGGGTGCTGAAGGGTCGGGGTAAATATGCTCAGGACGTGAGCCAGTAAGTTCCTCTACGGGTCAAATTGCGTTCGATCCGATCCGCATCACGTCTCAGTGATCCATGCTGATCTCGTCCTCCGCAGAGACGACTTGGTCAGAGCCATAAAGAAACTGAAGGTGATGGGAAACGGTTTTGGGATGATTCCAGTTGGCGGCTCTTACCTAGTCCAGTCAGTCCCAGCAGAACTGAACATGGATCACACTGTCGTTTTACAGCTTGCGGAGGTAACACAAAGAGTCGAGACCATTTGGGGAGATTTTGTGAGCATTCATTAAGATGATGACGGTTTCTGACAAATCACGTCCTTGTTTTAAAAAACTAGGCGTGACTATGCCCTACACTTGTGATTCTCTTTCATGATTAAAAATCACAATGAGGAAGTTCACTACATGTGAGCTTGAGACACTGTTTCATTTGATAGAACCAAAAACCAAAAAAATCAATAAGTTTAATAAGTTTGAAATCTGACCAACCTGTTAATGTTATGCACCACTTAGATGAAAGATTGTGAAAAAATTCAGAAAGTTCCAGGGAAAAAGTGAGGCTGAGGCATTGCAAACAATTTTGGATGTTATGCTCTCCATATCAGTATCACATTACCACAGGTGAGGCTTAAAGCTTAGGTGGACCAGTAAATCACAAAAAAAAGATCTGCTTCTATGATTTCCTGTTTGAAAAATGTGTTGGTTTTTTCATTACATTCATTGCTGCAGTGTGAAGTAATTTGTTTCTTTGTCGGTTTGTAGAAAAAAGGATACGTCACTGTAAGCGAGATCAAAGGCAGCCTGAAATGGGAGAAGGAACGGGCGTGTCACGTGCTGGTGAGTTTATCCAACGGTCTGCTGAAGCGACCATGTCACATTTAAACCTTTTAGCTTTAATAAAGTGGCGATTCCCACCAACTTTTGTTTTTCTGGCATGCAGTTATTTTGCAAGTTTGTTCTTACTAGAGTGCAAAATGTGAATAAGTATTTTACCTTTGCTAATTGTAAAATTCTGGATATGCCATTTGGTAAAGTCTTAAAAATTAATCTATTTGCCTGAGACTTTAGTTGATCCTTATCTGATTCAGTTTTCTGCTGAACATGTTTTTATGTTCTTACCTGAAGAAGGGCTCCAGAAGTCTGTATTTTGTTTTAACTTTGAAAGGATTCTTCATTTCAACATTCTTACATTTTGTTGTAATTTTTTAAATTGATGTTTTTTTTGCTGTTATTCATGATATTTTTATGTGTCATTTGGTAGAAAGACCCCTGAGACTTTTTGTCCTGATCAATACAAATGGAGGCAGGAAATGTAACGACTTACACAGCAAACAGAACTCCCCCCTCCTTCTCCCCCCTCAAACTATGTACTAGGGCTGAAATGTAGCAATAAAACATCTTTAGGGTTGAACACAAGTTACCTAAATAAACACGGAGCCCCCTGCCAGACCTCCGCGTTCTCATATTCTGCATGTCTGACTCCTCGTATTTCCAGGATCATCTGCTGAAAGAAGGCTTGGCCTGGCTGGACTCTCAAGCAGCCGGGGAGGCTCAGTACTGGCTGCCAGCGCTCTTCTCCGAGCTGACCTCTCGTGATGTCACGCCCGAGGAGGCCAATCAGATGACGCCTTAAGGAGATTTGTGGGTGGATTGTTATATTGTGACTGGTGGAGGCGTTCCCTGACGTGCTGCTAGAAAGGGCGGGTTCTCCGCCTGGAGCTGACGGACGGACGGACGGACGGACGGACGTCACGTCGAGCATCAGACTCGAGAAGGCGTCGGTTTTTCCCTTTCACGGATACAGAAGTATTCACACACCTTGAACCTTCTCGCATTTGTGACATTACAGTCGGTGTATTTTATAGGAACTCTACATGAAGGGGAAGAAAGATTGTACGTGCTTTTTTTTTTTTTTTACAAATAAAAATCTAAAAAAATGTGCTGTGTTTAGTATTTAGCCCCCCTGGCTCAACACTAAGAGCTGTAATTACACCTGCAGCTCTGAGGAGAATAAGATTTTTGCCAGTTTTCTTGCCTCAAGCTCTGTCAGATGGGACGGAGGGTATCTCTGAAAAACAATTTCAAAATCCCAATTTCAACATTCTCAATTGGATTGATTTCTGGACTTTAACTGGACCGGTCTAGCACATGACTATGCTTTCATCTAAACCAGGAAAGAGCCGTTGTTGTACTTTAAGACTTGCCTACAGCTGCAAAACCTACATCCATCTTTAACACGTTAATGAAACATGGAGAAATAATTAAATTTAAATGACTAAATAATGCACACCATCTCCAGCATTATTATAGCTCCATCCTTTTTCCCCATTAACCTGCTCTCTCCCCATAGCATGACGCCGCCATCACCATGTTTCACCTTCTGGGTGTTCAGGAAGCGGTGAGACGATGTGGAAAAGTTCAAGGGAAGGGGTGTGAATACTTTTTCTTCACGTGATTGAATGGGAAATTCAGTGTAATCTTGGTGGAGGGTTTTTTTTTTTTTTAATGACTGGATAATTTCTCTGTGTGCTAAACATGTAAATGTTAAAAATTTCTTGTATAAAAAAAATCTTTTTAAAGAAAAAAGGTTTACACCAGATTTGTTGTACGTGCTTTTATTACGCAGCAAAACCAGCAGAAAGTATTAACAGTGATGCACACTTCTCATCGGTTACCCTCATTCTCACCCAGGATACGCTTGAAATTCATCAGATAATATTAAATAGGCTCTGATCTCAGTATGGCAGACCAGGATTTATGTTATAATGTGAAAGGTGCAAAGCTTTGGTAAATATAATAACCTCTAAATGCTGTTTAAACCCTAATCGTTTGCTGTAACAGCCCTGCTCCCAAAGAGTCCCCACAGGTTTTTCAGCTTGAAACTTTTTAAGGCTTTTTTTAAAAAAAAAAAAAAGATTTTTGGTTGGTTGGATTTTCTAAATTGTATTTTTTGTGTAAGAGAAAGCTCAAACAAAAGCACTTGAGGTTCTCAATGACTCTACTGAATAATGACAATCATACTAACTGATACATTTCAGCGATAATTAAGACCAAACAAAGTAAATTTGGTCAAATTCTCTGCAAATTTCAGAAACCCAACTCATTTTTAGTCACTTCCAACAATTAAACAGTTTTTATGCCGATTGTACTTATTATTGAACGCAATGTGTTCATTTTATGGATGTTTACTGAATATTTCCAATCACTTTTTATATATAAAAAAACAGTACAATAATATCAACTAATATAACAAGCTAATTTACTTGATTATTTTGAAATTTTAACAGATTTTGTTCATTTTTAAAACAAGTAGAACGAAATACAGTTATCACATAGTTGGTTTAATCAGTTTTTTTTTTTTTTACTGCTTTGACATCCTGTTTTATGGGACTGTTGTACATTGCTGACAATGACTTCAAAACAAAAACAGTAAGTTACTATGAAAAATAAAAATAAAAACAAGAATTAAGCCTCAGATCTCAACAGGTTGATAAAATACAAGAAAAGCTTTGGATTTAGTCTTTTTGTTTTCAAATATTAAATCAGAACTCCCAAACACAAAATAATCCACCTCTGTCCTGCATACACAGCCTGCTCAGTGTTAGCCTGCAAATACGGAACATGGATGATTAATGATGCCAAATTGAAAGATTTAATAAACAGATATCGATGAGAACAGTTAATTTCTCAGAAGGAAAAGGACTAATTTGCCACTTACACAGATAAGTGACGGGTAAGTCAATGAATCAACTGAACATCTATACATCAGGCAGTTCCTGAAGGATCCAACAGCCCAGACTTTCTGCTGATCAAACTTAAATCTGACCAATCCTGCTGGGTTGTCATTTTGGTTTTCAATCATTTCAGTCATTAACGGTCACTCATCTATGATTAGAAATTAATTATTCTATCCCGATATTTACTAATATTATCATTTATAAGGCATTTTCTACGTGTTTATTATACGCAATACAGTTTTTTTCATTGAATTAAATCACTTGGAAAAAAATAAGCAGAAATAAATGGGATATGATTTCAAGACGTTTAGCTCTCCGCACGTGGACGTGACGGCTCATCATTCTAGCAGGTTTCAGGTCTCGACTAAAATGACAAGCTTATACTAATGTCAGTTTTTTTTTCCCTCTGTTTTTTTTTTTTTTTTTTGTCAACCAACGAGACCCATCCGAAACGACGACGCGGCTCGTCTCACAGCTCGTGGCCGTAGACGTGGTCTTCGAATATGGACTGCTCCATGAAGTCGCAGATCATCGTGCAGAACGGACACACCCGGTGGCTCTGCTCATGCTGCTCCAGCTCCAGCTGGGTTATGCCGGGGAAGCTCTCCCGGCAGTGACTACACACCAGCGCCGGCTGCCAGGAACAGGGCGTCACGAGAAAGAGAGAGAGAGAGAGAGGGGTAAGGGAAGAAGGGAAGGGATTATGTTTTAAATCCGCTTTAAAAATAAACAGTAAACAGTCGCTCATGTGGACGTCCAGGGATCATGTGTGCAGAGGGATGTTTTCCCTGTTTATGTGTTTTAGCAGGTGCACGGGATGGCATCGAGCTTTCCTACGCCGATGAGTTAAAATGTTTGTTTGATACGTAAAGTGTAATCCGTGACTCGTCTAAGACATCTGTATGTTATCACTTATTAATGCAACATTCAAATTATTAAATTATACTTCCAAAAACATTCATCATTTCTCCTGGAATGGGAAGAGGCGTTTCAGAAATATGAAGGCTGCTTTTTAAATTTGTGCCGTTTTCTCCCTCTTGTTCAGGTCTAAATTGTGCCTGTTATAATAAAATGATTTCTCTGCTTCCAAGCAGATGTACTTTCTTGTAATCTTTCAAAAGATGCATTGAAGGTCTCGGTGCTTTCTGGGCTCCATTTTGTCCCTTATTCGTGGTTCAGTACCTGGTCGCTTTAGGTGACATATTTTCCATGTTGGTCTCCTAACCCTGACCTAATCACTCTGACATAAAAGTGCCTAAGCTCAAAGGATGAATCATTATTGCATGAACACACAGACACACACACAAAAAATAAAAAAAATCAAAGAACCAAAATTAAATATGCGATTTTAGGGACTTTACTACCAGCAGCTTTTCACAGAGACACAATTTGTTGCATTTCTTTGGTTAACTTAATGCAAAATAAAATTGGATACAAACTTAATGACCAAGAAAGTAGAAACTGTGTCTCTGTTCCTAACCTGCATTAACCAGATGTCGCTACTAAAGAGTCTGAACGCAAACAAATGACGTCTGGAACATGAAAATGTAGAAAAATACTAAAATATGTCTGCAGCACACTGGTATAAATGTTCTTTGATGCATTTACGCAACTAAACTCACGTGTAACTTTTTATACAGAGAACTTTACAGTAAAGACCCAACTAGTACGAATCGACAGATTATCAGCTCCCGATCGGTTATTGTAAGTATTTTAACTGTGTAGGATGTGCTTGTTTCACAAGTTGATATGTTTTGTGCTGAAGAAAATTACGTTACTCACCTCCTCGACTGGGTCGACCACCAAGCTATCTGTAAAAGAAAAGGAATAAAGTCATTTTGTGAAAAACAAATTGAGATGTTTGACATTTTTAAAGACTGTAAAAAGTGATATGATCAATAAGGAAGTGAATTGCAGTAAACTGTGTCTCACCAGCTGACTCAGTACGCTGAGCGTAAACACAACACCGACCTCTCAGGCTTGTATTTGTAAAAACGTTTGAAAACCGTGCATCATTTTCCCTTTACTCCATAATCGTGCACTACTTTGTCTTGGTTCGTTATACAGAATCCCAATAAAACACGTTCAATATGAATCCTTTTGCAACGCACAACAGATAACACTGACTCATGCTATTTATTGGCTTTATGAAAGTCTTTTCAGTCATCAATCTGGAGGAAATGAATGACGCGTTGTATCAAAAAAGAAAAAAAACTACATATAAATCACTTTGTTTGGCCGAGAGCTTAAAAATAGAACCGCTTAGAGATTCATTAATGCCGCACTGGCAAACACAACAAATATGACGTGTTGCGTTTTATGTGTGACCCTGCCAGGCTGTACTCAGATAACAAGAGGCCTCCAGGATGCAGTAAAAGGACAAAGTTCAAACCGCTGCACAGACCAGCGACATGCTACATCATGGTGGCGCCACTGCGGCTCATGGAGATGAAAGCAGCAGGTGAAATAGAGGGATTTAGTTGGCAGGTAGGAGGTGGATGCAGAGTTAATTTTGAGATGTGCAAAATAGAAGATCATTTGTGTTTGAGTTTTATAATGGCGTGGAGCAGACAAACGGCCCCTGGTTCTGCCTGACCACACGTCCGTCCCTCACCTATGGTGTGGTATACGTGGCCCTGCTGGCCCAGGACGTCCTGCTGGTTACGACTGGCAGGAACGTCGCTGCCTGGTACGATGGGGTCTGGCTGCAAGTAGGGCGTCTCTTCAGCCACAGGTGAGGTGATGCTTGCGTAATGTGAGCGAAGCCTCTCGATCTCGCCTTTGAGAGTCTGAAAGAACGAAGACGGTTCAGATTTCTGAAACCACGTAGGAGATTTAGAGCCGATTTGTTTTCCACATGTACCTGGACTTCTCTGCTGAGCTCATCTCTCTCTTGTTTGACCAGCCTGATCTCCTGTTCCCTCTCTTCGATGGCGATGTCCTTATCTGCGAACATTGCATTCATCTCCTTGACTTGCATCTGAGAATATGCAGAAGGAAGATGACCGTCATCATACAACGAAAAAACACAATGAACATTATCCTGTCAGCAGCCATTTTCATTTAATACAAAAAAAAAGCAATCAGATGAGAAAATCAGATACAAACACCATAAATCCATTTTATAATCTTAATAAACTTTTGATTAAAATCACACTTTAGTTACAGTAGAAAATACTCTGAATATTTCATTTCTTACTCAGAAAATGTTTCCCTTTAGAGTTAGTTTCTAGAGTAGTAAATTAGTTCCATCTTGGCTTCTTTATTGTAGTTTTTTTTAATTTAATTAAGTCATTAAGAAATAGACCTTGGTGTGGATAATAATAAAATTAAACCCTCACTACATAAATCATCAGTTCTCAGTGGATTTAACTCTGAAGTATAATTATAGATACAGATATTGTTGCTTCTCTAAATGTGTGATGAAATCAGTGCAAAAACAATTCCCTTTTCAGATCGCTAAAGGTAAGCAGCATCTTTTTCTTTGAAATGTAATTAACCCAGATTCACCTCATATTTGCTGCTTTGGCGTTGCTCCATCTCACAGTTTCTGGCCAAACTCGTCAGCTGCTCCTTGACGTCCCGCAGCTCGTTTTCTGTGAACTCGCACTGCCTGGTGACGGCCCTCGTCGCCTCCCTCTCGGCCTGCAGCTTCGCCTGCGCATCCTGCAGCTGCTTGGAGAGGGCCTGACACTGCGCCTGAAGAGGACGCTTCATTAAGCCTCGTCACATTTACCTGAAATCTGTTCAGCGGTATTCTGAAGAGGGATTCAGTTTCCGTGTTTAAAAAAAAAAAAAAGTACCGTGAGGTCGTCCTTTGGAGCCGTCAGCAGTAAATCTTGCTGTGAAAGCCTCCTGTTCAGTTCCTGGTTCTCCCTTCTCACTTCGTCCATGTTGCTTTTGACGCTTAGCAGCTTCTGCAATTCTAGAGAGATCCGCTCCTTCTCTTTGGTGGTGCTCTGAAGATCAACCTGGTAATGAGAAAGCACACGTTTCACGACGATCGATGGATGTTTCGGTGACCTCCTGTTAGCCTCGCCTAAGACGCATTTTAAACCCTCGACAAGGCTAAAACTTCTGAAAAAAGAAAATTTTAAAATTCAATTTTGCTTCCAGCTAATCCCTTCTGAACTTTTTCGGACATTATTTCCAGGTTCAGGTGCCCATATTGGTTAGACCGGTCCCAAATATCCTCACTTTGTCAAAAAAATATGTCCTCATTCACACTCGCCTCTGCTTTACAGAATCAGAGTTTGCAGTGGGAATAAGTCTGTCACTATTTAAATGTAATGAGATAGAAACAAACAAAAGAACTGTAGGTTTACCTGCAGAAGCTGAAAGCTGTCCATTGTGTTCGACAACTCCCGGTCTGTTTCTCTGAGTTTAGCTTTCAACCTGAAAACACGCAAAACAGTTTTACGGAAAAGTATGAATAGTTTTGCCAATCAGCTTGGTCACATGACTAACCAGGTTTTCAATATGGGGATGCTAATATTCTTATTATGGGCAGCTATCAATAATGAGGATAATTCACAGAACAGTTATATTTCATACTACGATTAAATTATTAAGTTAAGTTATATCCTGAAGGCAGTTTGCTGAAATGCATTTTTTTTTTTGGATTAACAGAGTAAAAGGGGCAGAATATAAAATATCCACCAACATTTAAAATAAATTTTCTTTTTCCAGAAGAAAAAACGGAAAGTGAAAACATTACTTGGCAATCTCATCACTTTGTGCATCCAGCTTCCCTTTCAGCTCCTCGCGCTCCTCTCTCATCTGATTGATCTTCATCACTGCTCGATCATATTTCTCCTTGAGAAATAATGTGGATACAAATGAGGCCGGAGTACGTTCTAGTTTAATAATGAGAAAGTGAAGCCATGTTACCTCGTTACTTCTAGATGACAAAGAGTTCAGCTTTTCCTGCTCTGTGGAGTTTTGTTTCTGGATCTCCATCCGCTTGGTCTTTTCAATCGCCATCTCCTCCTGGCAAGTAGCAGCAGCATCAAATTTAGCTTTTCGTCCTGACAGTTCAGCTTAAGTTTCACCACAAACTGATGACGAACCTTCAGGCGGTCGTTCTCCTTCATCTGCAGCTGCAGTGTGTTCTTGAGTTTTTCATTGTGCTCCTTCGCCTGATCAATTTCTTTGATCAGTTTAGCCATTTCTGCCTCTCTCTGGTCGCTCTGCTCCTGAACAAATCAAACCGTCAACTTGTCAAAGTTCGCTTTAAAGTTTAATGACCCTCCGTGTTGCACAATGAGCAAAGGAACCGTGACGGGTTTACCTTGGAGCTGCTGATATCCTTCTGATCCTTCAGCAAAGCGCTTTTCAAGGTTTTGTTTTCTGCTGTCATCAGATCCAGCTGCTTCTGCAGCTCGGCTTTCTCACGTTGACTCTGTTCAACTTGCTCCTGTTAAATACATGTTGCAGAAATCAACAAGCCTGAATGTATAAATCACCAGTTAGGTTGAAGTCCAATTATAAAGAGGTAAAGCGGATACAACAGTCATGTTGTATCATGAGGAATGTCTGTTTTATAAGTGTTAAACTGGCTCTTTATTCACCTTGTTAACAAGAAAACTTTGAAAGAGCTTCAGATAAAATGAAGACCACTTGATTCAAACCACTTTAAAACATTAATAAAATACAACATAGTGGAAACTACAAGCACCATGGGTGACATATACACGCTCACTTCCTTATAATCATGTTTATTTACATAAATCCCAGGCAGTACAACTTTATGGAAATGACCAAACGGCAGCGTGAATGTATTACCTTCACCTCCAATTCAGTTTATTTTAGATTATCTTTTAGCATTTGGAAAGTTTGATTCGCTCTTATCGCAACTGTAGGGAAAGTCACTTCACCTCCCTGAGAATTAAATCGGAAAACTAAAATGATTTTTTTTTTTTTTTAAGTGTCCCGTCCAAGTTTTGGTCATTTCCAGCAGTTACGAAAGCTAAGTTTACATAACTAAATCCATGTACATATTTGCATATGGTACCTGAGTCGTGATAACCAGCAGGTCGTCATCTGCGATGCTCTCTGCGCTTTGCTCCGATGGATTTCTGAAACAGAAAGGAGTGCTGGCTCCTCGGACCTGACCGCTGTTGTCAATGTAGCAGAACTGGTAGAACTCGATCTCGTCTTTAGGCAGGTAGTACTCTGGCAGGAAAACGAAAGAGCAAACTGGATGAACTCTTACGCTAGATCGTGACCTTGTTGCTTTTATACATAGTTGTTTAGAGAGTAAAAATGTTAAAAACACTTTAAAAGTTAGCAACAAATTTTAAATAAACTGATGGCTGAACATCAAAATTGATCAGACGTCTCAGACAATATATGCTAAGAAAACTGTTGTAGAGTTTTTCAAATTGTAGATAAGAGTTTTTATTAGAAAAATCTCCAATTATCAACTGTAGAACACAAAATATTGAGTTGTTCAACCGTTTATCACAAGAGGAGTTCTGCATGCAAGTGGTGCTGCGCCGTAGCTTTAATTGGTTGTCTTCTAGTTGGAAGACTGGGCCATTAATCCAACTTTATTGCATTTTTCCAGGGCCGTTATGGAGGAACTGGGATGGGCATAAATTTCACAATTTTAAAAAATATATATTTTTTTCAATAAAAAAGAAAACTTTTTCTTTGCTTTGCTTTGCTGCAGATACCACTACCACTTGGTTGCAGAATTGCAGCATAGTTTTTCAAACTGGGATGCTTTTTCTAGGCAAAGGTGCCAAGTGCAGCACATCAATTACCAAAAAAAAAAAAAAAAATTAGGGGAGTCTGAGCTAAATCCGTCCCATTTCACCAAAATTATTTGGGACATATTACCAAAAAATGTCTGAATATTGCAATTGTTACTTTATTAGTTTCACCGTCTTATGAACTCTATGTTTAAAGTAAATCTCTCCCAGACGAAAATCCGCTGGATGTAAAACAGGATTAAACCGGATCCGACTGCATGCTACAGTTCTTCGCAAAGACAGATTTCAAGATTATTTTTGCTCACAAAGTGTAGACATGAAACACAACGAGGAGTGTACATGACAAACGGTCTTTTGGAGAAGGTGAAACTTACCTTTAAATACAGCTCGTCTCATCTCTGTCTGTTGAGCATCATGGACTGGCTCCACCCACACAAATGTGTGATAGTCCTTTGTTGAGCTCCACCCCACCTGATCAAAAACACAAAACAAACAGAAAAACACACTCAGTTAAGATACTATCCAGTGGTAGGCTTTTTTTTTTTTCCACTACCAATAAAACACAGTATATTGACAAAGTATAAATTTTCACTTCAGGATTTTGCAAAACACCTTAAGGGGAAAAAAAAACAACTAATCATTCTTTCTGTGTTTTGGGGTTGATGACATCATAACAGGCTAAAGTGTAGCATGACTAAACACGGAGGATGAGCAACTCTGACTCATTTTTTTTTTTAAAGGTTTCGTCAGCTCTAGTGGCCTTTATTTCACAGTTGTCAGACGGGAAAGTGGGTTGTGAGAGAGAGGGAGGACATAGGGCAAAGGTCATAGAGGCCTCCTTATCTTTACGTGATGTCACCAGAGCCCTGTGTGTATGGAGACCTACTTAATACCTAGGTAGACGTGGAACAAAATGACACAACTAGAAAAACTGACCATGACAAGATAACAGTAATAATCTACGTCTTACGTGAGTTTGATTTAAAAAGGAGAAACATCTGGCTGGTAGCTCTAATTTATTATGACTGTAAACAAAAAGTAAGTGAGGCAGCCCACCTTGAAGATGCCCACCCAGTCCCTGGGACTTGGCTGGAAGGCAGAATTGAGAGTAAAGCGGCAGGTGATGGGGCTGGAAGGCGGGTATGAGTACGGGATATCCATGAAGACCACCTGAGAGAAGGTGCGAGCCGGGGGGTCAGTCGCTGCTGCTGCTGCTGCCTCTGGGAGGGTCTCCATACTGACCTACCGTCTTGCAACGAAACACACGACATCCCATGAGCTTGATTGCGGTAAACAGTGAGCACAGATCAGCTAGTTTAACGCCAGAAAGCAGCTCCCTTGTGTTGCAAACCTACATTCTTCCTGGCATTGTTTATACGCCTTCATGCGCATTTAGAATTGTACTTTCGGTTGTTACAAAACCGCTTACTCATTCATATCTTTATGATTAACGAATCACTTTGCAACAAACATAAAGGAGAAAACCAGTTTTAATGTACTCAAGTCGTTTTTAATTACGTTTAACACGCTAAAAGAATTATATAAAAACAACAGGGAAAAAAAAAAAACTTCTTAAAACCGAAACCAAAATAGTAGTGTACCGTAAATACAAATTGTTAAAACCGGGGGGGGAAAGATGTTTTAAGCGTTTGTTCGTTCAAAAAAACCAGTGAGTTATAGGAAAACTTTAAGATAAAGTCATAAAACTTACATTTGTTGTCAGTTGACGCAGTCCTGAGATTTCCCGTCTGTTTCTCTGAGACCCAGAAAATGAGATGTTCAAGTACACCTCGGATCTTTGTACTGCCACTGCATGTAAAAAAAAAAAATTAGGACACACTGCCCACGTTAAAAAAACAAAACCGAAAAAGTCATTTAACCTAACATATAAACTATTTATATTATTTTAAAATCGTATTTTACAATAAATTATAAGTATTCACATTGATACTGTAGACCGTTGCAACTTCTTGGCTTTGAAAAATGCAGGGGGGGCTACTTTAGAAAAAAAATGTTCTAGCTGAAACAAAAACAAAACAAATCACAACAACATACCGTAAACAGATACAGCTCTGTAACTGGTCGCCTAACTCTACACCTAACACATTTATATTCCTTATTTACGTTTGTAACAAGACCCGATCCCTTTATTTCAGATTGTTACGAATACATCAGCCCACGCTGATGTATTCAAACACGCTAGGTGGAGCCAAACTCCTCTTTGTTGCGGAAACAACTTAATGAAACAGCTAAATAAAAATAAAAATCACATCTCGAGGACGTATTTATATGTTGATGGATTGTTTTCTCTTTCTCGTTTTTTAAACAAATGTATTTTAGAGTAAAGCCATAATCTTAAGCTTTGCTGGTGCAGTTGTTTGACAAGATTCATGTTTTTTGGGAGGATTTTGTCTGATACGACATAGTTTTGGAGTGAAAGAAAATATGATCTTTCATCAGTTGACTTCTGATTAGAAGTCAACTGTTTAGAAACTGGAGGCCACAAGTGTGTAAACTGATCTCAATATCAACCTTTCTGTTTTGTGAAGCATTGTCAAGAAGAGGTATTTCCTTTCACTTCACAATTTTGTTTTTGTGGTGGTCTGTCATTACCAATGAAATAAACTAAAGTTTGTGGTTGCATCATGAAACAATGACAAAACGTTCAAGAGATGTAAGCAACTGTGAAAACACATCCATTGCTGTGCTTTGGCAATGTTACATTTATTTGAATAATAATGGTCATGACCCTCAAAATGAAAATCAGAAGAAATAATTTTCAAGACAGAGCTACATGTTGCCTTGATGGCAGACTTTTAACTGAAAATATGTAATTATTCTCCAGTTTAGCCACTATTTCCTAAAATAATACACAAAGAAGGCACTCCGAAGAATGCAGTAAAATCCTGCTATCCATTTAATTTTTTTTATAATGCTAAAGCTTTAATAAAAACTGCATTTATGACAGCTATGACATTTCATTTTAGAATACAAATGATCACAAAATGGAGAGACAGTGTCTCTGTAGTGTCTGTAGAAATGTATACATTTTTCTCTGAATAACCTTGAGATTATGCAGAAAAAGAAAAACTATAAGGTTTTTAGTATTTTCCTCCACAAATAAGAATATCTGTGTAAATTACCAATTTAAAGTTCAAACCCCTTTAAGACATGCAAAATTTACCCTTCCTCCTTTTTGTGTTTTTTTTGGTTGATTTTTTTCAGTCTTTACATGTGTTAGCCACCAGCCAATCACAGACGAGATTCTCACACCTTCGCCTCACGATTGGCTGCATCTGACCCCCGTCGAGTTGATTCATGTTTACATTTGTAGGTTTACTGTCCTCTCAGCGTCCGGCCAGCACTTCACGACCATCCGTGGGAACAGCTGCAGAGAGAGCAGCGCGTTTTAGAGGCTTACAGAGGGAACCAGAGGAAACGCTTTTTGGAGGGTAAATGTGACTTTTTCGACCAACTTTTTTTTGCCTTTGAAAGTACGCGTTTAAAAGTCAGTTGCTAAATAGGAGCTAGCCCAGTGCTGTCAGAGCTGGGAGAGGTCGGCATTCCGTTACCATAGTAACGGCGCCGTACATATGGGCTGCGCAGTTAACTGTAGGGTGTTCTTTTAGGATGTTTTTTTTTTTTTTTTTTTTTTTTTTTTTTTTTTTTTAAAAATTTTTTTCCATTTGTTTTTTGGGAAGAGGTTTTTGAAAAAATTTTTTTTTTCCCCCTTTA